CACATGACTAGAAAAAATTAAAAGAGAAAAAAAACCTGCTACACTGAGAAAAGTATTTTCATATATATAAAATTACTTGTGATCAACTAGCACCTGACTTATCCTCATGATTAAGAGCTAAACTGAAGCCTAGTGGAAGAAGGAATTAGAACTGATTACACCATATTTGAGGAAGACTTTAAAACTTAGATCTATTAGAAAACATTCATGCGATTAAACAAATGTGCAGGTTTACTACACAAATCAGTATGCAACACCCTCACAATTTCATTTAGCTTATAAGAACATTATTCAAAATTAAGTCCATTTATTTGTATATTGAGAGAGTCAGCTAGTGTTACAAAGTTCCCATGTAGGAAGAATATTTTCTCCTTCACATTATATGACAATTATTTTTAACTACACACAATTATGCTTATACTCTCTACCCTACATTTTTTAAAAGCAGAATAGAATATATACACAACAAGCATTTCATATAACACAAAGTAAGTCTGTCCATATATTTTTATTATTATCAACAACAATTTCAAGATTAATTTTACTCCACGTTTCTCAGTGGTATTTGCTGCTAAGCAGATAGTTGTTAGAGATCATTGGAATGCTTAATAATAAGAGAGAGGCATTCAACCAAATCTCAAAAATACCCAGATCATGGTCTAGTTGGTCTTGGATAGTGACTGTATCAGCACATTCAATATTATCAAATCATAGTTAATAATTTATTTAATCACTTATTAAGAACCAACAATGGTTTTCATGACTACAAAACACATTCAACACCTTTTTCTGTGATAAAAATGTCACTGTTTTTCAGAATGAGATAAAAAAAAATTCAGAAGCTTCTGATTTAAGTTACAACATAGATTTCCACAAAAAGGGATCTTAAAGCTTTGAAGTTACACGCACATATTAAAATAAGTCTGAGAATTAACTCTGTACCATAGCTAGAAAAGTAGATACCCTACCAATTCAGAACATTTAAAAAAAGTTACTAAAATGTTGCTTAGAATCAAATATCTCATTTCAAAATATAGAGACTAGGGAATTGAGGACATCGAATACGTGCTTGCCTCCATGACTAAAAACAAAATGTGTGCTTTAGAAAATATTTCCAATACCAAAAAGCTGATGCTGTAAAACTATAGGAAAGTAGCTGGGAACAGAAGAAAAGCTCTGAGTATTATAACCTCACCAATGGCTAAAAAGTAACTACACTGACAACAAATAGAAGTCACCTCCAGAGCAGATATCATTTGTAATAAACTTTTCTTAAAATCCAATTAAGTAATCATCATGCATTTAATATATTTAATATAAATTTGAATAGTGTCTTAAAGTGCATGAGCTTTACGTAGGAAGTTCTGGACAGCAGTGTACAACTCAAGACTAAGGTAAAATAAGAAATTACAAGGAAGTTGAATAGGAAAGCAAGCTATTCGTTCGTGATAAAACTGCAAGAGCTCATGCATCTAAAACAACCTTTTTTTTAAAAAAAGATCAAAAATTAACATGGCAGAAAAATACACATATCAGTTGAAGGAATTACATTTTTTCTTGGAAAGATTTCATCCATGCATAGTTTTGTAAGGCTATGAAGTTCTAACTGTGTACTTGAAAAGGTAACTTAAAAATAGTATCAATTCCACTTGGGGTTTTAAGATTAACTCATCTATGTGTTAACTGAATTAAATTTTTTCATCTCAACATAAATTAATCAAGGCCAAAAACCTGGATACAATTTGGATTAAAAGCATCCAAGACCTTACGAGTAGATATTGGAAAAGGAATGTCCCTCACAAGAGAAGGAACAGGAGATGGTTGGTTCTGTGACTATGAACATCTGAAGCTGAACGTTTCAGATGACTGGAATATAAAGGTGTGAGACTGAAGCAAGTTACCAGGAATTAAGAAAGGATGTGGCCTATAATGTATGAGACATTCAATGGCATCTGTGGACAAACACATTTTTAGCCTTACATCAGATCCTCCTTTTACACTGAGGTACAAGCTAAGGAATCTTGCATTTACTTTATGGCATGAGCATACACAAGCAGTGACGACAGTGTAGAAAATACATTATAAATTAACATGCGGCACATCCAACAGCCTAAGAACTTTACCAGATGACAGACGAATAGCCAAGAAAAATCATAAAGAAATAATTTGTGGATTACACTAAGAACTTTGGTAACTAAAGGAAACGAGTAATAAATCATTTGGTCAAAAGAATTCCTATATTCTTAGATATTATTGTAATCTCATGCATGTCTTTGCATTGTTTTGTATAATGTAACTTGAGAGGTGATGAAGGAAAATCCTTAATAGGCTTAGTTATTAAATGGTGAATACGTTTGTAGGCAAGGACAACATAGTAAGTCTTCACCAATACCTGTCAAAAGTAGTTCAGATTAGCATAGCTTTCTTCATCCCTTGATAATGGTATCAACAGAAGTTATAGCAAATTATGAAGCATGATGCTATCTACACTCAAATTTCAGATTTGAGCAGTCTAATCCTTGGGAATTAAATGCAAAGTAAAGAAAAAAAAGTTATTGCTCACCATAAAAGAACTTTTTAATAAGCTTAATTGGCACCATCACTTTTCCTCATTAGAACAGGACAATTTTTTTTTCCGTATTCCAAAATGAACAGAATAAGATAGCATCTAATACAGTTTATTCATCTCTTGCCAAATGTTTCCAGTACAGAAACTGAAAAATTTAATGATTTTAACTAATCTGATGTTTGTCAGTGATGAGCATTTACTCTTCTCGTTGAGGCCAACAGGAGTTACTAAAGCTGGGGAGCTTTGAGCAGAAGGATGATTCCCATACTTAAGACAAATTTTGGTAAGCAACTCTGAACTACCTATATTTGAAACCACTGGTCTCTGGGAATCTACATCTCTCTAGTGACAGCACATCTGCAATTCCAAAACTGAAATCCTTCTACACTGGTACTCACAATGAATAGACTTATTTTGGTTCTATGTAGTACTGGGGGAGCACATGGTGCGAAACAATAACAAAATGTGCCAATCCCCTACTACAATTTCTACCCCAAAGAGCTGAAAGGGCACAAGCTGTAAAGCACAGGAAATGCAAAACACAACACAACACAGACAGAATGACAAGTGGTTGTTATTACTGAAATGCGTTACAAAATAAGTGGATTTTCAGGAGTTTTTGGAAGGAGGATAGTGAAGGATCTTTACGTACGTTAATTGGGAGGCTTTTCCATGTGTAGGAGGCAGCGTGGAAAAAGACACAAAGTTGGGAGTGAGCAAAAGAGACAAAAGGGGAATTAAGAGTGATGCTTGGGAAGTGCTGACAGTAAAGGAAACGAGGACCAAGGTTAAGCCAGAACCAAGAGTGCCTTGAACATGGCTAACTTTATGCAAGGGAGGAAAAAGAATTCCTGGCAAAGGCTTAAGAAGCAAGGAAACATGGGTAATTACACAAGAAAGCAGAAATGATTTGTGTAGCATGTCCCATAGGAAAAAAAAAAGTAAGAGAGTTAGGAAGTAGGAGACCAGTTTACATCAAATAACTAGTGTAACAAACATTTCAGTCTCCAGTAATAGAAAATAATCAACTTCACTGAGATCGCAACCAATACCCAACCAGGTGTGAGGAGTGTAAGAACATTAGACGGCGGTGATTCTTTATCTAAAGCTGTTAAATCATGTGAAAAATCACCACATAGTGTAAAAACCACATGCCCAAAATAAATTCAAATGGAAAAGGTTAGAAAAAACATGCCATTCAATGTAGCAGTAAAATGTGTTTGCTGTAGTTGTTCTGTACAATGAGTAAACTCAACTGATGCACAAATAAATTCTGTCCAGGATTTTAGCTGCTGCATTCCTACTCATCATCACTGTCACCAGTTGTAAGAAATAGACTAACCCTCAGTGTACACTGAACTCTGACGAAGTAAACTTTTAAAATACAAAGCTGCTACCCCATAAAAGAAATCAAATTAAATGTTTTTTAAGCATACGAAGGGGAATGAAGTACGACTACTTGATCTGAGCCAGAAGTATCTTTTTGCACAGTGTAAGTTTACTTTCCTTCCACATTACAATTTTGTGTCATTTACAAGTGCATATTCATTAGCTCTTGAGAGCTAAGTACAAAAAAATAGGGCAATTCGTCACTAACATTAGTAAAAGCAACTTCTTTATTACTGAAACCTTAAAAAATAGTATTGGAATTAACACTACCACTTCTTCTCCTTGCCAGTATTTTCAAAGGAATTATAAACATATTGATTACTCTTAATAAGTGCATAATATCTTTGCAGTTTAAACATTAATCCAGGTTCAAGCAATTCACATCTCGTCAACAGGTGTGGAGCTTGAGTATTTATATCTGAGTTCAACTCGTGATGTCATTGATGTCCACCTCTACAACAGATTAAATCAAATCTTATCATATTTTGCTGGAAACTTAAAAACAGACATCTAAGTCTCTACTCTTCCATGTATTGATGGTCCATCAGCAGGCCCAATTAGCACTGCTTACCTTTTTTTCTTATTTTCTTTCCACTCATTGTCACAAATTCACAGTTTAGAATTAGATAATTGAATGTCAGTCACTTCCACTATACCCCAGTGAAAGGACTCAGTAAAGCAGCCCCTCTCTTTTTTTTTTTTTTTTTTTTTTTGCGTGTGTGTGTAAAACTGGAGGAAAAATAAAATATTAAATACATTTCCAAACTCTATTTTGGAAGGTCTCAATTTAGGAATGCTCTCTAACTCCCGTTAAAGCTTGTAGGAAAATTCTTTTAGCTTCAAAATGAAACCTGACTTAAAAAAAACTCTATGTAGCCTTTTGCAAGTTTTAAAGTGTCAAGAGAACAGGATGTCAGTTAGACACTTAATTAGAGAGCAAGAAATTTATGCATCTCTGCTATATGAGGGTATGCCACACACACTTCAGTTTGAGCAAGCTCCTCTTACACTACTTCAAACACTCAGGAAAATCCGTACTTACCCACAAATCATGTTCAGCATAATCAAACAGCAGCCAAACCTTTCTGTCACTGTGAGAAAGGAAAACCTTCTGCAATGCAATCACGTTAGGGTGCTTCAGCTCTCGTAAAAGCTGCAGAGAAACAGAGAAGCTCTTGTTACTTCTGTTCTTGTTTAAAAAAAAGCAAACACTGCAACAAAAAAACAAAACCGTTATTAGCACAAATAGCAAACAAGTAATCCTAAAACAGGCCCTAGACAAAAAGATGCCACTGATTCAGCATGTTATCTTCATAATGTCAAAATCAGGAAACACACAGCCTCTGTGGCATGGGTTGCTGTTCTGCAAGCACAGCTGACCGTCACTAGCTACCTTTGTCTCTGTCCCACACGCAGCACACAGCTGCCCATCCTACCTGTTTATTCTGCTCACCCTCAGCTTCTACCTTAAAGGATGTTACTACACACAAACACAACTGTTCTCTTATCAAAGGTGAACATCAGGATTTAAGGATGCCAGAATGAAGCTTGTGTAGCTGGTCCAATTCCTTTGTATGGACAATCAGTTCTTCATCACCACATAATTACTGTATTACTAATAATTTTCTTTTGCATTAGATCCCTGCCTTGCTTGCCCAGAAGTCCACGTGCTTGTTCTTCTCTGAACATAAAGGTATTTTCAAAGAAAAGTTTACTAAAACCATTTTTCTAATTGCTGTTTCAACTACTATCCTGTAATCCAGAAATAAACTGAAGTTTATTTACTGCTTCCCAGAAAGAAAACTAGGTCTCATGACTAATTAGCACATTAAAGCAGGCACCACCGCTGAAGTCACCCTTCTGCCAGATTAAATCAGTCCTCAGGAGGAGCTGGGAAGCGATACTCCCAAAAATATAATTTCCAATTAATGACCTTTTTTCCCCCCTTCATACTGCAGTCACAAGAATGATCGATCACTTCTGGTTTATCTGAAAATTGCTTGCATCTGCAGCACTAGTATATAAATTGCCCAGCATCAATTTATAATGGCAAAACAGTAAATGGAGCAGTTTCCAAGGCACATTCAAGAGAAATTAATCTTCCCTTTTTTCACCTTACAGAAAAAGACTTGAGATGTTTATTTTTGAGGAAAAAAAAAAAAAGGAAAAGGATTAATTTTAAATTATATTATTACTTGGCCATACAGATACCTGTCAAGACAAGAAATCTTCTAAAGAATATTACAACTGATTAAAACTTAAATTCCAGTCTTCCAGCAAATGAAATAATTTCAATGCTTTTTCTAACATGCAGGAAATGTTTCTTCTTTTTGTTTCTTCCTCTCCCTAACACCAAGCATTTCTAGCTTTAAAATAAATTAATTCTCCCCTAATGAACTGATCAACTAGTCATGCCTAGTTATCACTTACGAGATACAGTAAAAATAATTTTGCCACTTAATAAATAGTAATAACTTGCAGAATTATAATCTAGCAAAAACCCTAGAGATTAAAATCGTCTCTCTTTGACATGCATCAAGAGATATTGCTGCATACCTTGTCTTTAATAATAGTAAAAGCTATTTTCCAGTAGAATTTGATGTGATGCCTCTGCCTATTTTCTTTTCTTTTTTAATAGAGTTTTGTCATTTTAGGATAATTTTTAAACTAGGGGGACAAAAAAACATTATAGTAGGTAAATTTTTTTTAATTGCTATGATATTTTTCTTAAAGACACCATTGGCATCAATAGCAATATAAAATAATTACAACTTGGGTTTTATTTTAAAGCATTCTCTCAAAATAAGCAAAACTTTGCAGTAAGAAACAGCCAAAGAAAATAATTCCATATAAAATGCTGACATTTAATAAACAAATTAACAGAAATAATATGTAGAGCATGAGAATAGAAAGAATGCATAAAGTGTTGTGTATTAACAGAAAAGTGCTACATGAAAACAAGTATAAAAATGAAATATATAATACATGAAAACGGGTATATTTTGCAGCTGTCAAACACCACTGCTCATGCCAGCCCACACAGAGACACTGTATGTAGCAGCGGTTGCCATCTGCCAGAACAGCCTGATTAATAAATGAAACCTGAAACTTCTCCTTTTCACACAAGTCAGGAAAAAGGATACCTTCACATCAAAGAAAGTGGTAAATTTCTTAACCAAAACAACAATGACATACACTCATTTACAATGAGCAAGTTATTTCTAGTGCACTGTTCTCTTCTTTTGAGTCAACTTGGATGACACGAGCATCCTTATCCAAACCCTGCATTTTTCACATGACAGAATCAAACTCTTACTGGTATGATTTTAAAAACTGGTTTATACTACACATGTTGAGTTTCTAAGAGAGAATGTCTGTATGTGACCCGAAGCTGAAGAACAAAGCAACCTAAGGCCAACAGACAGTCTCTGAAAAAGATTCTGATGCTGTATTTTTCAGTGACTGGATGACTGGTTAGAGTTGCAGCCATGGATGGCAAGATCCCACCAAACTAACAAAGTCTGTTTACAGAGGTTACAGATGCGCACTCTACCCGCCTGCTTCTCAAGTCTGTTCCACTCAAAAAAGCTAGAAATTTTTCTAAACCATATTGTAAATGAACAAGTTGAACATCTTTGTTGGAGACATGGACA